GACTGCTTGAACTCACAAGTTTGAGACCACCCTGAGCAAAAGCAAGACCCTGTCTCTACTAAGAATAGAACAATTGAGGCAAGAGGGTCCCTTGAGCTGGAGTTGGAGGTTGCTGTGAGCTATGACATCACAGCACTCTACCCAGGGCAACAGCTTGAGACTTTGTCTCAAACCCCAACCCCAAACCAAAAAAACCCCACAAAACAATTTTCAGACAAGAGGTCTTCCTGCCATTTATCATCTCTGAATTTGAAGCTTTTCCTCTATAAAATGGGAAATCTAACAAATCTCATCCTTTTCATACATGATTATGTACATAGAAAGAATAAGCAAATTGTAAAGTGCTAAGCATTTATTATTGTTCTTGCTGTTAGATTTGCCTGACATTTATAAAGTACTTAGTAAGAGTTCACAAAATTATTAATGAACAGAGCTAATTATAGTGGACAAATGGTAGAGTAGATCACTTAAGAACCCTGAAACCAAGAGTAACACTTCCACATCAAAATTAATATTCAACTATGAAATATTAATATCTTATGTGGAACTAAGTTGAATACCTGGGGAATATCCCAAGAGAAAACAATGTCTCAGCTCCCAGAACAGGTCACTGCAATCACCATATGGTAGGATCTCAGGGACACAGAACGACGCTACCAAATCAGGTTTCATGTGGTACAGAGACGGTAGAATAAGGGATTAAGAGCCAGGGCTCTCAAGTTCAAATTCCAGCTAACAAGTTAGGTGACCTTGGGAAAATTAGGTAAACTTTCCCAAAACTCAGTTTTTCCCATCTGTAAAATGGGCATAGCAGTAGCACCTATCTCTCAGGATTTTTGTGATTAACTGAACACATATAGGCCAATCACTTTACTATATACAGTGTAATCTGCTTAGCTGTCATCACCTTCATCAAACCATACATACAAAGTTAACTTTCTATAAGTAGAACTAGACCAGAAGTCACCCATTTTACAATCCGATAATAACCTTCAGCCATAGCAATGAATCACACGTGTCTTTGAAAAATCCCACAAAGAGTGTCTGCTGTGGTCATACACCCTATTGGGTCCCTACATACCAATATACTGCTTAGATGAAGTTAGACATGCCTCCTGGGCAGTGTGCTTCCCAGAACCAAGTATCAGCAGAGGTTCATGGCATAATTCTTCATATTTTACTAACTGCTCTCTGAACCATCTCGAGTCCTTAGGTTAATAACCTAAGTTGCTCATGCCCTATAATTCACTTCTAGTAAAATTTGTCTTTTTTTTTTTTCAAATGAAAATGTCAAAAAGCGTAAGATGTGCATACATGCATACTTTTTCTAATCTGCAGTGAGTGAAATCTTGCTAAAGAAGTTAGAATAATGAAACACTAAGATAGGAATCCCTTATGATAGTATCTACCATGTTAAATGATGGTGGTGGTCAATGAAGCAACTACTTCAGATCTAATATCCTGCTGAAATTAAATAACTGCATTTTTAGACATAAAACCTAACCTTTCTTAGATGTCCTGCTAAATGAGTCAAAAAACCTTAATTCTAGACCTATAAAATTAATCAAAATAATCCAACTGTGCAACCATCTTACTTCTTTCATAGAGAATCTAATAATGCAGTAAATTCTGGCTCTTGGATATAAAATACTTTCCTCCCCCAGCCCCTCAATAGTCATCTTCTTGGGATCATGGTCCACTCTTGTGGGACACGGAAGGCCCCTTCCTCTGGGGAATGGCGGGGCCCAGCTGCCTCGGCGCGAGCTGCTCCTTCAGCCTTGCCTGCCTGTGACAGCACTACCCGCCAGCCAGAAGCATCCTGATGTCTGCTGGGCTGCTGCAGATTGAACAGACTGTGAATCCAGCCAGGGGATAAGAGGTTGTTTTAATTGGCTAAATCTGCTATGTACTAAGCGTATGGCCATGAATTTGTAGCCAAAACACTCCTCTAAAAAAAAAATGCCACATACAATTTAAACACAAAACAAGAATGACATTTCCGTTCAATTACAGTTTTGCTGCAAGGGTTTTTAACCTAACGTTTTATAAGGATTCCGAAATCCTTTACCTTTGCTGCAGTAGAATTTTCATGGTACACTCCCTGTACCAAATCCATAAGAGCACTTGCTAAAAGCTCCACGACCTAAAAGATAAGAAGAAAAATTAGAAGAAGCAATTTGAAAATATATCCCCATTTTTACTTCAGAATGCTTCAGAAGACTCAATAGCAATGCAGGATTTGTGCTATATAGAAAAAAATGGGGTTATGTGCAAAGATCCTGGCAAATGGCATCGCCCACCTGGATATTAAAGCTGTGATCCAATTTTTTTTTCCAGTCATGATTCAAGCCAAAAACAAAATCTTATAAGCATAGCACATAAATATTATACATGAAAATTCAGTATTAGCCATTTTGAACATAAGCCTAAGTTTCAGATAAATAATGTAATCTTAACTCAATTTCTTTCCTGCATGTTTATTTCTGTCAGGTGGATACTTTTTCAATATTCCCATTCTGGGAGACATTACAATGCTAATTTTCATACTTAATCCAGAAAGAAAAGCAAAAGTAAGAGGATGGTTAACCTTTCAAATGTGTTTATTTTGTTGTACTTAAAATGGATTGTGGATACATTTCCTGTAGGCCCCTGGGTCAAATGTACCATAAACACTGAAAATTTTTACAGAACTGCAGTACTGAAATCATATTCATAAAACCTGTATTATTTTCAAGGCTCAGACTATTTTTCAATAATCAAGCAGAATCAAAAGCTTTGAATTTGTTCCAGAATGTAAAACAAGCAGAAAATACTAAATGGTCTCCCTGGAACTATCGTACAATTTAGCGTAGTTTGCATAAAGCGTCTTAATTCAAGAAGATAAAATAGTGGTATTTATGATAATGTTTCACATAGCCATTTCAAACAAGAATTCCTCAAGGCAACCCATCCACCTCTTACAAGACATAATATCATGTATATTTAACTTCCTGTGTTATGCAGTCCTGTATCAGATTTCCACTCTTTGCTTCCTAAAATTTAGCTGAGTTCTGATTGAATTAAAAGATTTTGTTTCAGCTTTTATCATTCTTGTAATTGAAGACATTATTAAGCCAAAGGATACAGATCCAAACAACAAGATACTTCCATCTCAGGTACCCTGGATTTAATAAACATTTTCTTAGAGGCAAATTACATTAATTTGTAGAGAGACCTGCTTTAAAATTTTAACACATGAACATTTATTTACACATTTATATTGGATAACACACACTGGGCTGCTGATATGGAAATTTTGCTGATTAAAGGCATATTTTTTTTCTAGCTTTGCAGATGGGTTAATTTGTAAGACCTATGCAAAGTCTTTTATTTTTAATCACATTGTCCTTTAGGTAACTAAATACTTAAGAAATATTGTAGCAATATGAGCTGCAAAGGAACTGGAAGGACAATGATCCTACAGTGTTACCAGATGTGTTGAGTTATTTAAGTGGGGTAGAGAGAAAAATGAATGGATTTTTCCCCCAAAGGTATCAGATAAGCCCTATTCCCAAATCCAGAAGGATTGGGTATCACCAATAGGTCTATGAAAGACTGTAACTAAATGCACAGCATCAGATTGGATTACAGTTTATACAAGCAACATCCCAAGATCCCCCTGATGGCTGGACACATAATACAGATCAATCACTCACTAAGAAATGTTATGGTTTTGAAACAGTTTAAACTCTGAGGCCAGCACTGGTAATGTGAAGAGGGATTTACAAAGAGAAAGTCTGACACTAAATGTCAAAATGATGGCATGAACTTTTAACAGTGGATCTGGTTCTGGATAACCAGAGTGTTCCTTTATTTCCCTGACATTCTAGACCAGGAAGAAGCAACAAAAACATTTTGTTCTCTCTTTTTCTCTTAATGCAATTAACAAATACATGCAGATCTGCACTTATAAATGGCTCTACTTGCTTGATGGAACATATTTCTACATCCAAAGACAAACCATTAAAAATGTTCTGGACCGGTTAGGTACAGGTGGCTTATGCTTTTAATCCTAGCACTCTGGGAGGCTGAGGCAGGAGAGGATTGCTTGAGCTTAGGAATTCGAGACCAGCTTAAGTGAGAGTGAGAGTCTTCCCATCTCTACCAAAAAGAAAGAAAAAATTAGCTTGACATTGCATCAAGTGCCTGTAGTCCCAAGCTATTGAGGAGGTTGAGACAGGAGAATTGCTTGAACTCTGGAGTTTGAGGTTGCAGTGAGCTAAGCTGATGTGATGGTTCTGTAGCCTGGACAACTGAGTGAAACTCTGTCTCAAAACAAAACAAAAAGCTTTGGACTTTGAGTTAAGAAGTCAAAGTTGGGCTCAGCGCCCATAGTTCATTGAGTAGGGTGCTAGCCACATACACCAAGGCTGGTGGGTTTAAGCCTGGCCTGGGCCTGCTAAACAACAACTGTAACCAAAAAATAGCCAAGCATTGTGGTGGGCATCTATAGTCCCAGCTACTTGGGAGGCTGAGGCAAGAGAATCGCTTAAGCTCAAGAGTTTGAGGTTGCTGTGAACCGTGACGCAATGACACTCTACAAAGGTGACATAATGAGACTCTTTCTCAAAAAAAAAAGTCAAAGTTGAGTCTATGAAAAGTAGGAATAGTCTAGCGGAGCTGAATGTGTACCAGGTGAGGGTGACTTGCATAGTGTAACTCTTTGCATTGCCTAAAATGTTTGTTTTTAAAATTATACCAAAGAAAGATGTGTTTGAACAGTCACAAATCAATGGAGGGGTGTGTCAGGGACATGCAAAAACAAATTACCACTGACCACCCCTATTGGTATGCAACTGTACCATCCTTTAAACACGCAAATATTTCTAGAAAGAACACAAGGCAACCATACTAGCCACTCATAATTTAGTAAGCTCATTTAATAATCTGATTTTCTTTTTTTTAATTACTTGGCTTATTACCTCAGACATTCACCTGTTTAGATATCTACTATACTTCAAGATAAGAAAGTACTTGCTTAATATCCCCCCCCCCCCAGATTCTTCAGGAACGATTTGTTCAAGCAATTTCAAATAGTAGCAAGGATAATGGCAGCCAGCGGAGAAGCCAGGGGCTGAGATGCCAAGTCCCAGATTTCTTTTTTTTTTTTTTTTTT